AAAAAAAAGGGGAAAGGGGGGGGGGGGGGGGAGGCTGGGCTGTTCTATATCAGTTCCATGCCAAATCAGTTCCAGCTTTCATCTGCGTTACAATTCAGGCCCAGAACTTTTGCAGTTGGCTTTGGATAAGGAAACTTTGACTATATCGTATATTTGTTCAATGTGGTCTTTTAGAGGAAAAGCATTAGCCCATCTAAAAATGAGGGCATTTAGAAACACTTGTTCTTTTTTCTGATAATCTTCAGGCAGAGGATCCCCTCCTGTCTGTGTATGTGCTAATTATTCTTACAGTGGTGGGTACTTGCTATTACCGATCTTTACTACCAAAGAGTTACCTCAAATTATTTAGTACAGGTTTAAAAGTGAGGCAGCAAATCTGGATGCAATATGTTTATACACCTTGATATGGAGCATTAGCTAAGATTTTGAGAACTGTTACAAAGAAATGTTTTTTCCCTGGTGTTAGATTGTTTATCAGGAAAATTGTCTCTAAATTCTTTACTTAAGCAGTGGAATGCATTCTGAAAAAAAATGAGAAATTATTTTAAAAATAAGATGGCACTGTTTTGCTTTGAATCTGGATTATTTAAAATACATAGTTACATTATTGGTCTTTCCAAAACATTGTTTTGTTGGGGTGAAGCTATAACCACTGTTTCTATAATATTTTAGCAGTTATCCAACACTTTTAACACTAATACATTTTCAAAACTGCTGTTGCAGAAAAGCAGCAGTGTTTTATCTGGCACTGAGCTTTCAAGTATTCAATCCATAGTTCTCCTTCACTGCTGTTTAAATGCTTCTCCCTTCCATCCACTGAGATAAACCTTAATGCACAACTAAAGACGGAAGTCCTTTATCATATCTTCTAAGTGCTACTGAAGTATTTATACCAGTTATTACGTATTTACACAATTATTTATTTTGCTACTACTGTGCCTAAATGATCATGACCTGTGTCAAGGCTTGGATAGGAAGCACTAGCCCCGCTATTGTTAAAGACAGAACTGTAGAAAGGCGGCTGCAATACTTAGATCTCATTTCATTTGTTTCTCCAGGGGGTTGTATTAGTAGTGTTTTCATTAGAAATGTTTTTACAGATGTCGGCTATCCAGATATGAAGTCTCTGTGGTGGAGAAGCAGTCAGGAGTTTGGCATTCAGAACAGAAAGAAAAAAATGTCAACTTTGAGAGACTAATTTATAGAAAAATAATTTACTGACTTTCTGATGTATAAATGTACAGTAACCCCATGGCGGCTTTAATGCAGAGTAATTGAATTCTTGCAAGTACAGTTATTTTCTATTCTTAACTTGAAGAAATGCTACAGCCTGTCGTTCCCCATCACTGAAGACTAAAATAGTCCCCATTAATAATGCTTCTGGAAAAGTGACACCCACTACTTTGTAGTCCAGTACTCTTTTTTCTTTTTTTTTTTTCCTGAGTGAAATACTTGTAGTAGCTTGACAGCATTTTAAACAATTTATGTATTACTACAAAAAGTTTCATTCTAACAATATACACAGAGAGTAGATGATTAGGGAAGTGAAGTTTTACTGAATGTTTGACCAACGGGTTTTGATGCAGTTACCGAGACATAACTGCATTGAGAAAGTAATACGGCATCAAAATTTAGAGTGGGTTTACTGGGACAGATTGAGTCTAATAGAACAGTCCACATCCTAATACTGTTTCAACAGTTATTGTATGTCACTCATAGCTTTAACTGTACTATGACAAAACCTGTAAAAATTGTTGTCAGAGAATTATGATTTACTATGACTATCATAAGTTTTGTCTACAAATACAAATGTAAATGGGGCAGCAAAATTAAATCATTGGATTTTGACTTGAGCAGGCAATCAAGCTAATAAATGTTTTATAGAATTTAGGTTTAAGTGGCAATGGTAAGTCTTGAACATTTTTGTATTTGCTTAATAGCTTGGCATAAGTGAGGGGGATTTTTTGTTTTGTTTTTCACCTCTGGATGTACAGAAAATAACTTTATTGATCTTGTGTTAAGAGGCATTGGTTGTACAGGACACCAGACCATCAGTATGTTCACCTGAGAAGGCTATTTTTGGCAACAAGATTAGTATTGTAATACAGTAGGTCATCCAGATCACGGCTGAAAGTCACCATAAGCTATTAGTTGCTTTATAATCAGACATACACATGTGAAGATTGAGTCCCATTCATACCAGCCATGAAGTTGATGTGATGCTTTTCATCCAAATAAATAAGACAGCTTAATAGTTTGTTATTATAGCCAGCACTTTAAGCCAATACTGTGGGTATGTTTTCATGAATATCAATGCGTGTTTGCTGTAAACCACAGAGCCTACCTGCTTCTACAGGAATGGTTCAGGTGATGTAGAGGAAATGTTGTTTGGAGTATATAACATTTTTGATGCTTGTATAGCAATAATGTTTTTTACTGCAATTTTCCTGAATGTGGATGCATATGATGTTATAAATACTGTAGCTTATTGATTTATCCTGGCTTTTCTGATAATAATCCAATTATTGCACTGAAGAAATGGGGCTAATAACCCAAAATAAATGAAAAAATTAAGCAGAATGTGAAAAAAGCAAGACCACATGACTACCACAAGGAATTGGTAAGTGTATCTCCATAGGGATATCTCCATGAGAAGGCACTGCTATTTGTGGAAAAACTTGCGTACCTCAGCAACATCCTTATATGCCTCTACAGCAAGTTTTACCTGTCCCATCCTACTACATCTTGCAGAACAGATGGATTTTTTTTTTCTTCACCCCATGACTGTATCTTCTTATTGTATAAATACAGCAAATCATTAAAATGGTCTTAAAGTTTTACCTGAGAAAAAATATTTTTGTGCTACCAGTTCCTATTTCATTTACATATATTGTCATAAATGCAAGTGGCTTTTAACAGGCTAAGTAGAAATAGGTAGGCTTAGCAAGAGGACATCTTAGAAGGCATTCTCTCTCTAACACCATGCAAGGGAAAAGCAACGCTTTGCCATCCTGACCAAAAGCTTGTGTTGCAGTACTTGGTGCAACATGGCCAAATTTCTCCTGAATTGCTGGTGAAGGGGGTCCCACAGGTAGGCTGAGGGTTGGGCACAAAGTCTGTGGTTTCTCTGCCCATCTTGGTTATAGGGGTGTTGAGTGATCTTGAGCAGGGCTCTGGGCCTCCACTTCCTATCAGCAAAATGAGAATAATGTGGGAAAAGCTTTTCTGTGTAAGTGATTCACAAAATGCTTTAAACTCAATCTGTGCTGGATACAGTCATCTTAATGCCCTGAAAGGGGTACTTACTAGCTTCTACTGGGATGCTTCTTCAGCAAATGAGTACAAGCTGTTTACTCTTTTTTACAAGCTCTTTTTTTAGTAGATAAATCAGTATCTTCTTTCATTCTTCTGGCTAATTACCAATTCATCCAAAAGCTTTAGAAAAAAGCAAAAATAGTTCAATCCTTACATATAACTCTCTAATTTCTAGGGAAATTAAGCAAGCCCAAGACTGCAGCCTTCCAAGAAAGGCTAGGTTAATCTTCTTGTTAAGAGATGAATTAAATAAAATCACTTGGTGAGAGCAGGAAAAAGGCAAAGTATCTGAAGTTTTGGGGCTGCCCTGAACAAGACCCATGGTGTGTAGTATGGGG